CCCGTGCACGTGCCACCGCTGCATCTTCCTCCATGAATCGTATCATGTTGTTGATGCACTTCTGCCTGACAGAAGCCAAGTCGTTGATTCTCCTGTTTACCATGAGCTCCGTAGCATAAAGACGGCGGAGCATGCGCCAGTATGGGCGGCTATATTTGCCTAATGAAATTCCCCCCTGGTTGAAGTTATGAGCAGTGAGTGAGGCTGGAATTCTGCGATCGCAAAATACTTGGTCATGATTCTTAAAGAGCTCGGCTGCTGCCTCGGCGGACTGGATCACCAGAGTATTGACTGATCCGAGCTTTAACCAAAGCACAGGACCATACTTGGGTTTCAACTCATACAGCATTTGGTGTGGGGTTGCTCCAAGATCAAAGATATTACCAAAGAATGGCCAGCCTGGAGGTCCTGGTGGGCTGGAACCATTCTGGTGGCAACGTCTTTGCCTCCAGGGCAAAATCAGTGCTGCTGATAACAAGAAAATACTGAGCAAGACGAACAAAGTCGAGGTTATATCCATTTCCTCTGTTTTGGTTTGTTAGAAACTGAAAAGAAGGAGAAATATTTGAAAAAAGGTTTATTGCTTTCTTGAATAATGCTGTATGTACAATAACCTATATATAGGTGTTTATAAAGAGAATATTCTAAGGTATAAAGTATATAAAGAGAATATTTTAAAGTATAAAATATTTACAACAAATGTGTTCACATCTTAACATCCCTCTTCAAAGTCAAGGTAATTGCGATGAAACCAACTTGAGTTTGGAAAGAAGAGTACAAAAGCGTTCAGGAAAATGAGCCTTGGTGAAAAGGTCTGTTGGTTGATCAGCGGAGCCAATGAAAACCAAATGAATAGTTCCTTGTGCAACATAATGGTGAATAAAGTGACAATCGACCTCAATGTGTTTAGTGTGTTCATGGAAGACATCATTATGAGCAATCTGCATGGCACTCTAATTGTCACAATAAAGATTAGTAGCAGGCAGTTGAGGAAGACCCATATCTTTTTGTAGCCAATGTAAGTTAAGTAACCTTGATGTGGTGTTTCCAAGTGCTCGATATTCGACCTTTGTGCTAGAACGTGATGGAACTGTCTGCTTCTTGCTACGCCAAGAGATTAAGAAATCACCAAGAAAAAGACAATAGCCAATTGTTGATTTACGATCATTAGAGTCTCCAACCCAATCAACATTAGAGTAAGCACGAAGTTCAAGAGATGAATGAGCAGAAAAGTGAAGTCCATGAAAAATGGTAGTTTTAATATAGTGAATAATGTGAACTATTGCTGCATAGTGAGTGGAGCGAGGTGTATCCATAAACTGGCTAACAACATGAACTACATAAGCCATGTTTGGTCGCGTTATAGTGAGATAAATCAAACTTCCAACCAATTGTCTATAGCAAGCAAGATCAGCTAATGAATAACCATCCATAGATGTAAGTCGAACATTTGGCTCAAGAGGAGTAGATGTAGTCTTGCTGTCAATGAGTCCAACTTTAGATATAAGATCATAGGCATATTTTGATGAGAGAGAATATAACCATCATTAGAAGAAGTGACCTCAAGTCCCAATAAATAACTCAAAACACCAAGATCTTTCATCTCAAACTTATGACTAAGAAATTGCTTAAGATCATGAATACTTGAAATATCATCTACAATAATGATCATATCATCTACATAAAGAAGTAGTAGAACCATACCATGATTAGTCTTGCGTATGAACAACGTAGTATCATGAGGACTAGAAGTAAAACCAAATTCATTGATGGTGGTGCTAAACTTGGCAAACCAAGCTCGAGGTGCTTGTTTTAAACCATATAGAGCTCGCTTCAATTGACAAACTTTGTTTGGAGGATGCTCAAGTCCAGGAGGTGGTTACATGTAAACTTCCTCTACAAGATCACCATTTAGGAAGGCATTTTTCACATTCATTTGAAACAATTTCCATCCTTTTGTAGTAGCAATAGCAATCAAACTACGAACTGAAGTGAGACGAGCAATAGGTGCAAAAGTTTCCTCATAATCAATCCCACATTCCTAGGTAAATCCTTTAGCAACTAAACGAGCCTTGTAACACTCCCTAGAACCATCAGATCGAGTTTTGATCTTGTACACCCATTTACAACCTACCAGAGGCTTTCCAGCAAAAAAATCAACTAAATCTCATGTATGAGTTTTCTCAAGAGCTTGTAATTCATCTTGCATAGCTTGTTGCCAAAGAAGGTTAGAAGAGGCCTCTTGATAGGATTGAGACTCATGTAAGGAGGTAATAGCAGGAAAACAATGACAGTCATGAAGATAGTTAGGATGATTTCTTACACGAGTAGGACGACTTGTAGGTGGATTAAGGATCTCATTTTTGGGCTCAACAGGGTCAGATCCAATAGGTGATATAGAAAAGGGAAGGGAAGAAGACTCACCATTGTCTAATGCATTACTAGCAGGCAAAGCATCTTCTATAGAACTAGGCGGAGCATGTGGAGAGGCATCATGGAGATCATCAAATGTATCTGCATTAGAGGCACTAAGAAATAGCTCAATAGAAGGGTTAGTAAAAAGTGCAGGTTGATCAGAAGATGACACCTGGAAGTTTGATAATAAGGAAAACATAGTGTGTTCCTAAAAGACAACATGACGTGAGACTTGAAGTTTTTGTGACATAGGATCCCAACAACGATATCCTCTGTGTGTAATCCCATAACACAAAAAACAACATAATCGAGCTTTAGGCTCTAGCTTGTTATGTTCATAAGGTGGAAGAAGAACAAAACAAGCACGACCAAAAACCTTAAGAAGATCATAGGCAAGAGGAATACCATGTAATCATTCGTATGGAGACTTATTATTGATGACTAATGATGGAATCCGATTAATGAGATAAATAACTGTAAAAGTAGCTTCACCCCAAAATCGCTTTGGATAAGAAGACGAAATGAGCAAAGCACGAATAGAATCAAGGATCTGTCTGTGTTTATGTTCAGCTCACCCGTTTTGTTTAAAAGTGTAAGGACAAAATTGTTGTGCCATTGTATCCTGTTCTTCCAGAAATGATTGAAGTTTAGTACTAAGATATTTAGTGGTATTGTTAGTCCTCAAAACTTTGATAATTTTAGAGAACTAGATTTTGACCATGGTAGCAAAATAAATATAAATTTGTGGTAATTCAGGGCGATTTTTCATAAGATATATCTAGGTAAAACGAGTATGATCATCAATAAATAACACAAAGTACTTGGAACCCCCTATGGTAAGTGTCAGAGATGGACTCCAAACATCAAAATGCACAAGATCAAAAGAAGCAACAGAAAGAGAATGATTATGATAAAAAAGATAAAGTTGGTTGTTTTGCATATTGACATGACACACAATGTAAGGATTCATTCGGAATAGATCCTAACAAACCACGAGAGAAAAGAGGACGGAGTTTACCAATTGAGGTGTGTCCGAGTTGTGAGTGCCATAAATGAATAGGAGAAATGTTAGTAGTAGCACGAGCTTGGAAGATTTGTTGATATGGAATTTGCAAATACTCTAATTCAACAGCACAAAGTAGGGTTTGAATGAATCGAATAGTTGGAAATGATGGTGTATCCATTTTATGATGAGGAATGTGTAGATAATTGAGCTCAAACAGATGCCCCACCTTGTGACCAGTTCCAAGAAGTTGTCCTATCTATGGGTCCTGCACACGACAACTATGAGTAGAAAACATTACTCCAAGACCAAGATCACACAATTGACCAATAGATACAAGATTATAACTAACTTTTGGAACCAAGAAAGCGTTTGGTAAAGTCAATGAATTTGTAGAAATATTGCCAATGTGACTAACATTCATAGGGAGCCATCAACAGAATAAATGTCAGGAAAGGAATTATTTGGTGACATTGAAGAGAAATGAGCACTAGTTGAAGACATGTGATTACAACAACCAGAATCAAAATACCAAGGTTTAGTATCTGAAGTAGTAGATAAGGCGGTAGGAGCATTAAGAAGATTTAATATCACTTGTTTTATAGATTCAGGGTTGACAATAGGTTGGTCTATCACCTCTTTGGCAACCATTGTAGCAGTGGGATGAGTCATAGTTCTTTCAAAACTCACCATAGAATCAGTAGAACTCACAATACTGGAAAAATATCTTAGAAAGTGCCTGAGAATAAACAATTCAATTTATAGAAGAAGGAATCCAACGACAGAGTTTCAGATCCGGAATAGATGTGAAAAAGCAACTCATAAACCAAACAGTGATGATAGATAAAAAAAAAAAGAACCAGGAGCTTATAGCTTTGATACCATGTTAAAAACTAAAAGAAGAAGAAATATCTGAAGAAAGGTTTATTACTTTCTTGAAT